AGTGAAGCCTCAAGGGCAGCTGCGTCAAGCAAGGGCTTGATTTGAAGATAACGCGGCGAGAATACTTGTCGGTCCGCATCGTTCTTCATTTAGCAACTTCAATTCGACATTGAACACTAGGGCTGTGAACCGGAAACAAAATCAGGAATTCGAAAACTTTGAAATATGGCTTCGACCAAATTCGATTTCGAATTCATCAACTCCGAATTCAAATTCGTTCTGAATTCAATTTGAAATTCGATAAATTCCGATTTCACAGAATTCAGAAATATAAAATTATTATTATAATATAAATGTTATATATATGAAAAATAAATTTGAAATCGAAATAGGAATTCCGAATCACCGAATTTAGGAATATAAAAAATATTATTATAATATAAATGCTATATTACATACATACATATATATATATATATATATATATATAAATGCTATATGTACAACTTAAATTAGTTACGTTCATTTTAATTCTATGCACGATGGGCTAGTACTTGTTAGAGATTTTGGCATGAAAAGTATGCCAAATGAGCACACGTAGGATCTGTAATGCTCAGGCCAAATTCTAAATAACTTAAGTACCTGAGATTTGCATGTCCAAAGGACTAATCAGTGTTTTGAAAATTGGATCGAACAGATCAATTAGCCATATTAGTCGATGATCGAACTGCAAATTAACCATATCTTTGGTCTGGTTCAATGAAAAAACTCAAATAATCAATTGAATTGGTTAAATCCGATCAAGAACCGATTGGACGGGTAAAAATCAGGAGGCTCAGCCAATTTTTATTTCCTAAAATAAAAATTTTAGTTTTATTCAAAAACTTTAGTACTAAAATAAATAAAAATTTATTAAACCTTTGAATTGGAATTGAATCGATCGAACCAGGGACAGGAAGGTTTTCTGCTTCACTCTTCGATCCGAGTTTAAAAACAGCGGGACTAATTAAACCATCAAAAAGTACCAGTTGACGTTGTAAAATGTTTTGAAGCATAGACTCACCTCACGTCGGCTGACCTGCAACTTTTTTTAGCGGGGGTACCGACATCATCTGGCTTTTTATTTGCAGCTCGTGGTTAACCTTTAGATCATGATTAGTGATTTATTTTTTTGCAAGCGTATCTAGTAGGGTACCACGTCCTTTTACATGGATGCCACATTAATTTCCAAGAAATTTAACCAAAAGAGCTGCTGGTATCCATCTACCAACCTGCCAATGAACATACGTAAAATCCTCTACTTTGCAAAGAAAAGTGAAAAGGTTAATGGAATCTATATGTAAGAAAGAAGCAACTTCATTAGATGACATCCTTAAAAAAATCCAAACATGTGCAAGAAATACGTATTTGCAGTCATCCAATTACTCGTTTTTCTCATAGATACTTATTTAACTTTAATTTCCAAGAACTGGTATCATGGAGACATCTTGTCATGATAAAGAAATCGGCGTGCATGGAGAGAAAAGTAGCAACTAGCCATTTGGTCGGAAAGCAAAGAAATGAGAGAGAGACCACCAAATTAGGTGCAACCCCACCAAAATGAGCAGAGGCAAAGCGTAGGGAGGTGAAGTACTGGGATAAATCAGAAAAGGCCATAAAAACCCCCCCTCCCTTGGCAGATGGCTCCAGGCTCCAGCCAGCTTAATTACTCCAAATTCTGCCAAACTTTGGAGGGGTCCATCAGAGGATGTGGTCACATACTTGCCCCACGAGTTTTGTTCCCACTAACTACTGTATCCTTAGATTTGGTTGTGATGCTTTCACTCGCTATTTTGCTTCCAAAGTAGTAATGGTAAATCAGCCAATCGATTCTTTCTTATCCCCTTCCTTCAAGGCCTATAAATATCCCTCTAACCCCCTCTTCAATTTACGCATAACACAGTAGTTTATTGCACAAACACACGCATTCTCACGCACTAAGAGAGTGAGACACATCTGTAAAAGAAGCATAAGCACAAGCAAACACAAACTAGAAAGAGAGATGGCTACATTCCCCGTAATCGACATGGAGAAGCTTGACGGTGAAGAGAGGGCTGCCACTATGGGAGTCATAAAAGATGCTTGTGAAAGCTGGGGCTTCTTTGAGGTGATTGAAGAACACACACACACACACACACATGCGAAAAAAAAAAAACTTGCTAAGTAGTTTTCTTACCGTAAAGCAACAATCTTTTTCAGTACTTTACTAGGTAAATGATCAGTTAGAAGTGGTTGCTAATTGTCTGGTCTGTTTTTTTTTTAATTTTTTTGGGGTTTCAGGTGTTGAATCATGGGATATCTAATGAGTTCATGGACACAGTGGAGAGGCTAACAAAGGAGCATTACAAGAAATGTATGGAACTAAAGTTCAAGGAAATGGTGGAGAGCAAGGGACTGGAAGCTGTTCAGACTGAGATCAATGATTTGGACTGGGAAAGTACCTTCTTCTTGCGCCATCTTCCTGTTTCCAACATCTCAGAAGTCCCTGATCTTGATGATGAATACAGGTTATTAGACAACTCTTTTCACTCCTAAATTACTGCCAGAAGACTCTGATTATCTTCCCACAATCTGGGACACTGTTAAAAAAAATATATACCTAGCTACACCTGTTCTTACCTACCCAGGACCACATTACTGAAAGCGACATATGACCCACTGACTCTTCCCAACTATTTTTCTGCTACAACTCCGTTCACATGCTTACACAGGAAAATACAGATAAGACCCAAAGATAAGAATGATCAAGGACCTACTACAGTGATTAAAAAAGAGTTATAAATAAAAGAATGGAGCAGTAGTCTAATCTTTTCATCATGGAAGAAACTACTAATTTGTTTCATTGCTGGATAAATCTGAAATGATTGCAGAAAGGTTATGAAGGAATTTGCGTTGCAACTTGAGAAACTAGCAGAGCTCCTATTGGACTTGCTATGCGAGAACCTTGGCCTAGAGAAAGGCTATCTGAAGAAAGCCTTCTATGGCACCAAAGGACCAACCTTTGGCACCAAAGTCAGCAATTACCCTCCATGCCCTCGTCCAGAACTGATCAAGGGCCTCCGGGCACACACCGATGCCGGCGGCATCATCCTGCTGTTCCAGGATGACAAGGTCAGCGGTCTCCAGCTCCTCAAGGATGGTGAATGGGTGGATGTTCCGCCTATGCGCCACTCCATTGTAATCAACATCGGCGACCAACTTGAGGTACTTGAATAAATTCCCAAATCTTTGCAATTGAACCTCCCAAATGAAGTCGCCTTACAGCTCCTAATTATCCACTAAATCACTCATTTAACATATTTGAAGGTAATCACAAATGGAAAATACAAGAGTGTGATGCACCGGGTGATAGCTCAACCAGATGGGAACAGAATGTCACTAGCATCATTCTACAATCCAGGAAGTGATGCAGTGATCTATCCAGCACCAGCATTGGTTGAGAAAGAGGCAGAGGACAAGCAGATATATCCCAAGTTTGTGTTCGAAGACTACATGAAGCTCTATGCTGGCCTTAAGTTCCAAGCTAAAGAGCCCAGGTTTGAAGCCATGAAGGCCGTGGAAAGCACCGTAAACTTGGGTCCAATCGCAACTGTTTGAGATCACGCTTTGATCTGCTGCTGTCTTATAATGCGCGTTTGCGTAATCATATCCTAGCATAGTAATAATATCTGAGATCTGAGTCTGTATTGTGGTGTGAGTTTGGTTTAGTCCCTTGTTAATGCTTGGATTGGACTAGTTAAATGTGGAGCTGGTTTGTTAGATAAGATAGTCTTGCCAGGATCTTTGAATAAATGATTCTGCGGAAGTCTGCGGTGAATGATAACGTGTAAAGCAATCCGAAAGTAACCTTTCTGGGGCTTTGTCATATGTAATGGAGAAGGAATCTTCCAATACCAGCATTGCTAAGTGGATACAAAAACTTTGATCCAGTTATCTTATCTGAAAGGGAATGCGGTAAAAAGCAAGCACTGTTATTTAAACCAAATCGGCCAGCAAGTTTGAAAAAAAAGGAGTCTGTGATTAGAGACTGACTTTATCCAACATTATTATGCACCATTTGGTTTCTAGTCAGTAGAAACTTTATCCAACAATACTACTATTGTTGTGCAAGTTCACCGCTGCATTCTTAGCGTCAGAGCGTGGGGGCGAGGTTTTGTCATGGCAACCAATAACTTTGGACCCCATGCCTAACCTGTCGCGCAAAGATACGCACCGACTTCCGATCGTTCTTTAGCAGCCCATAAAAACGATGATGTTATTGTTCTTCTTTCTTTTTCCTCGAGCAAATTAGTCCATCCATCAAGAAAAATTTTTCATAAGTACATGTCAATTCCGAGAAATCCGCAATGATCTTCTGAAGAAGAGATTGGGCAGCCTAAAAAAATAGTCAAATAGGAGATAGAGCACTACTATTTATTACTCCAGTTGGTCAGTACAACAGGGTCAGAAAAGAAACCATTTGCGGCTCAATTGACGAATTATGCTGGAAACTGGAGACCCTACCATGGTCTCTCAAAGAAGAAGAAGAAAATTTCCCTGGGCAGAATTCTTATTCCAGTTTGGCGTTTCGTGCGAGGTTATTGGACCATTCCTACACCGTGACCAGGGAATGAGATGAAACGCGCCGCGAGTATATTAGATTGACAAAATAGGCTGGATCTTCTAGAGAAAACGACTATATATTGGTGACAGCTATTTTCCATCTTCACGACGGAGCTTGCTGAGAAGCATCCGCATTTCCTTCCCCACTACTCCAAAAATGGAACTCAACTCTTCAGAAAGGGAAAGGAAATAGGTAAAGGTACTTCCTTGTTATGTAAAATCCCACTGCGAATGGTGGGATCAGCAAATTCAGCTGTCATTCTGATAACAGTCGCGTGAGCATGCATATGCATCCATGCGTGCCGGGTATCCCATCAGGGAAGTGGAAAGACCTTGCTACCATGTATAACTGCAAGCCTGACTGACACTTCCAAGCCCCACCACCCCAACCTGAGATAAGAACGAACAAACCAAACGAATAGAAAGAAAATTTTCCACTAAAAGCAGCATGTTAACTTTCCTTTCTTTTTCAGGAAAGTGAAAGCAACTAGGGAAAAAGTACTACCCCCTGTACTGCATAAGGAAGACTGTACATGCACCAATAATTAAAGAGGCATCCTCCCCAGAAAAGAAATTTTGAAGGCCAAAAGCATTAAAAAAACCAAATATCTCAGTCCTGTAGGCTTCAATAACAACCTATTGCTTTTGTTTGATAGGAAACATTCTACTATCGTCTCAAAAGATCAACGTAGTTGGCTGGTATGTATGTTGAAACAACTTCTGTATCCATGTGCTAACAGGTTCAGATAACTTCTGTATCTACTGGGGATGACATACAAGAACCGAGGGTATCCTTGTTATATTCTGACGAAGACATTTACACTCTCAGGCTCACTCTATTCTGTCAAACAACCGCTTCCTTGAACTTCATCTAATCTCCGTCTCAGTAAATTACCACCACCATGCTACTAAAATTTCATTGAGAACAACGCGTGAATATTAAAGAGTATGCTTTCTTTGATAGGCCACAGTGGGTAGAAAAAACCAGCGTGACACCACTAGCAATTCAAGCCTACGTGTTATTGTGTTTCGAGTGTGAATGGCAAGTATGTGCAGCACAGGGAGTGTCCACGGCATTTACCAATAACACACCTTGGCCAAACCTCAATAATCATCTTTTGATTGCCAACTTAGTCCCAAAATTCAGTCAAGCTGCCAGATTAAGGTGACAATAAGTTAGATTGTTCTCTGAATGTATACCCAGATTGTATATCTATTTCATAAATTGCAAAACTCAGAAAACACACACAAGCCAGATTACTCATAATGGTAGTATGCGAAATGCCCTAAAGATTTGTTCTTTGAAATGATAAGGGTAGAAAGTCAGCAAGATATCCTGTTCCAACCGAAGAGCCCAAGGTGAAAAATCCTAGTTCAGACTATAAATCGTGCTTGACACAAAATTCTGATTTATTTTAGCCATTAGTGTGAGCCAACTTCAAAAGAGATAAGTTCCATTTAAGAGGATAAAAACAAGAGTTTAAGCAACATCATCTCATTTAAGAGGATACAAAATTCATATCAAAATTCCTGCACTCAAAAGTTTAAGCAACAGCTGAAATTTAAGAGGATAAAAACAAGAAAGGGAGAATTCACACTAATAGTGCAGGAAAGGACATCATCTCATTTCATAAAAGTTCACTACACGGATTGGGAATAAAAAATAAAATCCATGAGTCAAGTGTGGAATATAACTATTGCAGCCTGAAGCCATAATTTAGATCCTAAGCAATGAAGACTCCTTAGCACTATAACATTAGCATCAGTCGAAAATTCAAAATTATTAGCATACCCCAAGAAACAAAACTGTTCGATTAAGAACATGTATCAAGAATGTTGATGCCCATTCTGTCTTAAAAATGCGAGTGAAAAACCTTAACCCTTCTGCAAAAGAGACGGACAATCTCTTACCCAATGAAACTTGAGGATGAGGAAAATGGTAAGGTATTTGGCTGAAGCTATAAGAAATCTCATGCACTCCAAACAAATTACTCCCTTGAAGTTTGAGTTACCTCATTTGGATCCTCCATCTTACTAGAAAGAGCCATGCTTACATTCTCAATTCTTTTCTCTTGTCCCTCACTAGCTTCTTCATTGGAGCAATGATTCTTCAGAACTGTTGCAATGTCTGTTTCAGAGGCTCCAGCAAGCTTGAATCTCTCGATTGCAGTGTCCAAATTCTTCTTCCAACCAGTCAAATTCAATTTAAATTCAACTTGGGATCGTTCAAAAAGCATATTACCCCAGAATAGATGTATTTGAGATCTCATCACAGCAGCTTGTTCTGCTGCTTCATCAGCTGAAAGTGCCCCCTGACTGCCAGCAGATGAGCCCTCATTTTCTACTCCACTTCCTGGCTTCTTCCGTCTTTTCAACAGTTCTTCCTTCTTACTTGCTGCTCCAGGATCCTTCAGTTCATTTGCTCTATGCTCTTCCAACTTCTCCCACATTTGAGTAGCTACTTTCATTTTTTCTTCTGCACTGTCAAAAAGTTGTAGGGTCTCCGTAGGATCCCACTTTGATAGGTCTTCTTTCTTTGCCACAACAAAGGACCAATGGAGCTTTGCCATTTCAAATTGCTGCTGCCCAAGTGCCAAGAGACCTTCATAAAAGTCTGGTTTGACAGAAAGTGCCTCCTCATACTTCTCTCTGGCCAACGAATACTTTTCCTTGACCCAGTCATAAGCAGCTTGAAGTTGTGAGGCCATCAAGTCCTTTGAAGCTGAGTCATCTATAGGAATCCGCTTCCTTGCTGCACACATGTGTACATTTCCCCAGTTAAAGAAAGCTAGAGCAGCTACTTCCTGAAACTTTAAAGCAGCCTTATCAAAAAGGGTTTGAGCTTCTTCACTTGTCACTGTCTCCTCCAGAGCTTCAGAGCATAGCTCCATCCCAAGCTCATGAAGATCAATGTGAGCATCTGGGTCAATACCGACATGGCTTCGGAACAACTGTGCAAACTCAAATAACCAGTCATCCATCTCCACTTCCTTGCACTCAGGATCTTCTGATATTCCAGTTTTCTCCTTTGGAGCTGGCTTTTCTGTCTTAACAACTTCATTGTCCACAGGTTCCACAACAGACTCACCTAGTGAAGAGTTAGATGCATTCTCATCTTCTTTAGTTGCCTCAGTCTCGGCAGGTTTCTCTTCTTCCTCTTCCAATAAAGGTGGCTCATGTTCAGGACTCACCTCTACAATATGCAACCTCAACGTCCCAGCTGAATCTTGTTTATCACTATCAGGGTCTTTCGGACTAAGCCGGTCAACACAGGACTCAGCCAATCGAAGCTCAGCCGTGCATGTAATTGTAACTAAATCACCGTCATTATCTTTATACTTAATCAGAACAGACTTTGACATTGGGAGCCGTTTGCCTACGATATCCCTTAACACCTTAAAATTGCAACTCACAGGCATTTGAGCAAGTCTAATGTCGTGATCATAAACAAGCTTCAATGGTCTCCATCGAGTTACAACCTCAACAGATTGCGCATGTGTTGAAACTGGCAATGATGAAGATGATCCATGTTCCTTACTCTCCTTAACTGAAATGGCACTCGGTTTGGAAGAACCCTGTGAAGGCTTTAAAACAACGTTTGGTAATTGAGATTTGGCTTCTGGAAAATTTTCAGTTGGCAAAGCTGGACAACACTTATCTGGCTTATTATTAGCTGATAAAGCTGATCCCACAGCTGGAGTTGCTGCCTTCTTTGATACTGGTCGAGCTGGCAAACAAGGTCCAAGGCCACCAATCGGAGCTCCCCGGACAGCAGAAGCACCCAGGGCAGCAGGCGATGGGCGACTCTGGAGGTCCTGTTGGGCCTCCTGGCGTGGGCCAAGCGCCATCCTCAATCTCCCCACAATCTCCAGTGCATCCCTGTGATTCGGGTCAGCACTCAATAACACTTGCACATCTTGCATCGCCATTTCATGCTTCCCTACTGCCTCAAAAGCACGAGCCCTCCGCAAAAGGGCCCGAACAAATCCAGGCTGAACCTGAAGTGCCAGAGTACATTCCGAAATCACGCTATCATAATCTATGGGCTTCATTTGCATTAAACAAGCAGCTCTATTGCTATGAAAAACAGCTCTTTCTGGGTGCGTTTTCGGGATCAGTTTAAGGGCAATATCATACTGTTGAAGAGCCCCTGCATAATCCTTGACCTGAAATCTTTTATTTCCCTCTTCTTTAAGCTCGTGGGCTCTTCTCAAGAAAACTGAAGAGTCCAAATCAACACCACCATTAATAACAGGTGCATGATTATTTTCCCCTGCAGAAGCTTGGTTTTGGTTTTGGCTAATTGCACCCTTCTTTTTCCTACCCCCAGATTTCCCCATAAATTATATCACGACCTTCTGAAAACTCAAACTTCAATCTAGATAGTGCAAAAAGTACCAATCTTTGACCTTTACTGGCAAGCTAGAGGTATAAATTAATATCTTTTTCTAAGAATTGAGGAAAAATAAAGGGAGGAGAGAAACCCAATAATAAGCCAGAAGGGGATACTTACAAGAACTGAAGTTCACGCCTTTTCAGCAAAGAGCAAAAAAGTTGTGTCTGGGGATTGAAATGTGAAGAACCCAGAAGCTGTAATGAAGAAATGCTGGACTAGAGAAGATGGTTTTTGATGAAATGCATGATTGAGCAAAGTCGACCGATGAAAGATGGGGTTTTTGGAAACCCTAGATAGGAGAAAATCAACCTATTAAACTGAATGCCCTCCGCCTCCGTGGGTTCAATCTTCTGGTTGTGCTGAAGACTTGGTTATATGTATTCTCGACACTTGGCACTTGATCGACCGTTCATCACTGGATAACTTAGAGTACCTTAATCGTGCGAAGCAGATAGACCCTCTCTCCATACGCGATTTATGGAGTTTTTCACTTTTTCGCATCAAAATGAAAGAGTGGCAAGTAGACAATAATCCTATCCAAATAATCAGGAGCTATTAAACTAATCAGGAGGTAAAGGGTTTTTTTTTTTTTTTTTTTTAAGGATCAGGAGATAAAGGTTTTCATTATTATTATTACATGTATAGTATGCATGAGACCGTTGAAATAAGTATATTTGGGTATGAATTCATACCAAATATGGCAAAAAGGCGTTTTTAATTAGAAGATTATTGGGAACAATACTTCAAGCATTTTGTGTGATACGATTTATACGAGATAAAATGATGATTAAAAATTACATTTATGATGTAATTTGAATAATATTTAAAAATTAATTTTGCAAATCATGCTAATTTCAACGTGAATTCTTTGAACTAAAGAAATTTCTATTAGAATATTGTTTGAAATTGATATTTTGTTATGACTACGAAATATCGTATATAGCCTTGTTCTTATAACTAGACCTACATTTCTTCTTCTTCTTTATGTACATTTCTTCTTATTTGTAATAGAAGTAAAAACAAAAAATTGGCGACACAAAGAACCTATATATATAAACCAAATAAATGCTTTCACTTGTGCATCTAATTTGCCAAGCGATTCAAAATCATTATTGGTATATTTGAGGAAATCTTTGGTGGTGAAAATGTAGAATCGAACAATTAAACAAGCATTAGTAGTTTGTATATAAGATTATGAGTCTTTATTTCCTATTTATTTTATTTTTTGTTGTGTCAAACAACAATCATGTTATGTTAATAGCGGGATAATACAAGATTAATTAAAAAGAAAAGCAACTGTCCTATTATATCATCAGGCACATTCATCCTGAGTTACACTACAGAAAGGCTTTGTTTGGATTGTGGTTTGTTTGTCAAAATATATTTGCTTACATCATCATTACAATTTTCAACACACCTTTTTATCTTTTCAATTATCTTTTTATCTCACATACATCACATCACAATAAGTGCTACAGTAAAAATATCTTTTATAATTCACAATCCAAACAAAGCCGGTCCCGTTTGCGTTTTGTTATTTACCGTAGCGGTACAATGCATATAAGATTAAAAAATAATTATAAAATGTATTCACAGAAAATATAAAAATTTTTTGATAAAAGAAAAAAACTGCAATACAAACACAATCCAAGCTTCACAACAAATTTGCTAACGTGTGAGAACAAAAACATTTCATGTTACATGAACTATTGAATAAGTACATTATTCAAAACATTTCTCTTGTGGAAGAGTTCCGGTGCCGGAATAATCAACCGCATTATCTTACGTGATGGATGAATGAAGATTGAAGATTCTTTTATTTGCGGCTTTGGACTTCAGGGAGGGGTTAAAAAAAAAAATGCCCTACACTTATGATAAGGCCAATCTGGTAATTGCACTCCATGTTAGGGTTTGTGGGCTTATCATGCGGGGATGCCGCTATATAACCCCAACTTCTACCGCAGCTGTTTTCCGTCGCAAACTCGATCTTCATTATTTTGCCTCGCTCACTATAAGACTGAGCTGTAACCTTGATTGCTGGAATCAATTTTATGCCTTCTTTTTTTAAAAAAAAAAATTTTTTTTTTTGAGTTTTTTGTTCTACTTTTCATTTTGTTTTTGTTCCTGATGATGAGATTTACCGCATGATTTCTCTTTCAAATCAGTATATATAACTTTGAGAATCCTGTGCTCGTGAAATAAGAAAATGTGAGAGGCAAAATTTGAAAGCGTGCCTCGTCATTGAGAAGAGCAGCAGGTACAATAATGCTAGCGAGATATCGTTTCAGTCGTCATATCTTCAGATTGACGATTCGATTGTTGCTCGTTCACATTTCATTCTAATTTCTGAGGTTGCTTTTTTTGTTTTCCTTTTCCAATTTAAGTGCATTTGCTCATATAATTCTTTCTATAAGCCCATATTTGCTTGTTTGTGCATATTTGTGTGTTTGTATATATGCTGAAGAGGTGCGGGTGATGCATTAGATAAGATCTCTTTCTTCAGTTTGAACCTATGCATTAGATAAGATCTCTTTCTTCAGTTTGAACCTATGCATTAGATAAGATCTCTTTCTTCAGTTTGAACCTATTGGGTGAAAATCCTATGCGGATGTTTTGTTTGTAAAGGATGTCTGATGCACTCTCTTGTTGATGGTTTTACCTGCTCTCGAGGGTCTCAGGATTTTGATTTTAACTGCCTTTTGTTGTTTTCTGCTATTAATGTATTGTGTAATTGACTTGTTTGTTCTACATATGTTGTGTAGTTTTAGATTTCCAGATTGTAGGGTAAGAGTCTATGGTGGCGACACTCCATTGCCATCACCTCAGTGGAGACCTAAAGGTACAGCCCTAAAACAAAGTAAACCTTCTGGTATCTTTAATTAGGAAGGTCATTTATCGTGTAGTTTTTGAATTGTCTCACCATCAAAAAAATTCTTAACAAGTAAACTCTGGGTACTCAGAACCCAATTATGCACACTTAGTGTGGTTGAAGGTGTGACCACTGACCTGGATGCGTCTAGGGAAAAAAATTCCCTTTGGATTGGTACAGTTTAAGAGCTTGACAATGCAGGCTCCTTGTCAAATGGCTAGCCAATGTGATTTGTGTCTTGCATTTTACTGCATTGGGCACCATTTAAGGGGAGTTTAGATGAAAAACTTGCGAGTAGATATTCTCATGTTACTAGGTTGAAGTGATGATTGGAAATGTATAGAATAAGGAATTCTAGTTGAAAATGAGACTTTACAAAATAAACGTGGCACTGGGTTGAGAAAGGCTTTATTGATTTTTTTTGGTTTGGATAGACTTTGTTTATTTTTTTATGGCGGGGAAGGGAAGGGAAGGGAAGGGAAGGGAAGAGGGGAGGAGAAAAGAGAGGGAGAAGGAAGAGGGTGGGAGAGGAATGAGGAGGAAGATGGTGGGTGGAAGAATGAGACAGCGTAGATTTTATTTTTTAATTTTTTTTATATTTGGAATTATTTTTGATATATTGAATGTTTTTGGAGTTGTTTTTATTTGTGTATTACTTTAACATTATATATGAAAAACTTGTTTCATATTAATGTAGATTGTAACTGACGTCAATGTGCTGCCAGAGTTGTGAAGGGATATAACAGCCCAACTTACCTAATCGGGGCTCTAATTCGCGCAACATGATGAGAATTGGCGTCTAATCATCAGACACTGCTAGCGTCAAAACTTCATTTCAGGCTAATGTTACTAGGCAATGAGAAAAGGTGAAAAACTCGATGTTCAATTCACTGGCATGTCTGGTAACTGAATATAAATTCAAATTTTCGTACATTATAATGCCTCAGAAGACAAGGGCGGATATCGGCAGGGATGCTCTCCTCTCCCTTCTGAGTGACTGATATTCGAAAAGCTTGATTGCCTGTATGTATGACTGATTTTCGAAAAGTTTGATTTCCTGTATGTACATCAGAATGGTGACGAAATGGAGACAGGTCAATATGTGGAAAATTGAAACTGTTTTCTAAAGCTGCTATTCTATGTTCGTAACTAAAATTGCATATTGATTCGCGTCATCTTCATGTTCCCATTTCTGACAGATAAAGAAAGCTTCAAGATAATACAAACGGAAGGAAACACCTATGCAATGAGTGAAATAAAGATGACCGGCCCCCTTTAAGAAGGGTGAGGAACTTCAAATTTTTTGGCTTGCACTTAAAATAAAGATGAGTCCAGGCAAAATGTACTAATGCGTGAAATGAGGCAAAATATTTCCTGCACTCAACGGAGAAGGAATTCAAGCAACAATGCGTTTCTGAAGGGCATTTTTCCACTAATTATTGACCCTTAGAACTTGAAACAGGTACGCATGATTCCTTCAAGCTGGAGATTTCGAATAATTCAATGAATCTCTGGTCTGAAACTCTGGCTTTGTCAGCAGCAAACCTCTGGTACTCGTCAAAAATAGAAGTTAAGCACCATCTTTGAAGCTTTCTCAAGCATCCAACAAGACATCCAGTTCGGTGCTGCACAAATAATTAAAACAGCATTAGAAAAATGAACTCTTATAGGAGGAAAGCAAAAGGTAAAAGAAATACCTTCCCACGTTTGCAATGCATTAGGAGGGGCCGGTTCTTTTCATCTAAACGGTGAACGTTCAAAACAAAAGTTAGTATATGATAGTGCAAAGACACAAACGCCTGTCCTACGAGAGAATTGAGCGCTGATTTTGTGTACCTAAGACAATTTCCAATGCTTCACGAATCGAATCCTCAGGGATGTTTACAAATGGTTCCTGTGCAAAGTATTGTTAAAGCTTTAAAACAAGCCTCTGTATGCACCGTGGAGAAAGATGTCACTGTATAAGAACCCTCAAGAGTTCCTACTTAACAGCAGACAACATGTTAAAGCTTTGGAAACCTATCTGTGACTTGATGCTGACCTCTCCAAATCCCATTGCTTTGTATATCACATTAGCAACTTATATTTCATTTGATATTAGCTTTTGTAAGTCAATGATATAATTCAGTCCAAATCATCTGGACAAGGATGCACTCCAGAACTTTCCAACAGATTTTTACGAGTCATAAACAAGTATTATTTTGTCAAACCCGTGCTAACGGAATACTCTGGTTCCAGTCACCTATACTGATGGAAGTTTATCCAAGCCAACTTCAGTGTACAGGCTAACATCTATACATGCTGGTTTGGTACCAGTAAATCAAAGAAAAGATCGCAAATCTTTTGGCGTACAGCAGACAACCAACTTAACAAAATATATATACATATATATATATATATATATAATCTTGCTGACTTTTCCTCCTATATTAAATTAGATAAAGTTAATAGTAAACCATGATATTCTGGAAGAGTAGAACCCTATATGTGACGGACTATGTAAATCTTAAGTGAATAACATGATTGGGTTTTGTACATCATAAGGCAATTGCTGTTAGTCTCCACCGGAGGAAAGAGGGAGACACGGGTAGATATACGTATGCCTACAGTCTAACCTTCTAAAGTAATACCTTGAGAAAAATGCCTCTCTCATTGCTCTACAACTTCTACAAGAGAGGCATCTGTACATACCTGGGTCTTAACGTACAATGAGTCATTTGCGAAATTCAAGCAATTTACCCTGCTGATTTTGAAGGAAATCGTCGTTTCATATCACCAAGACAATGAGAAGAGATGAACCATTAGATGATGTTAAGGTAGCTTTATAGAACCCAAACTTTTAAGTAGATCAAGAAGTTAACTCGTCTGTCAAAGCATTATCAAAATTTCTTTAGCTCCTCTAAAAACACGACCATAATTCAGCACTAGCTCCTCTGAAACATGATGAATATGTGATCACTGAAATAAATAATTAACCAAAGATTTTTAAAATACCTTCCCAACCTCAAACCACCGTATTACTCCTAAAACTGTCTTGAATGAATTAAAGAGAAAAACTGAAACATAATATAGCCTTTTTTTTTCCTTTTAAACAAACAAGTTGAGCACCTAAAATTTAGAGATTTTTCCTTCCTCAGGAATCTAATTGATAGCACCTTCATCAGTGTAGCCTCCAATACCTAGCCCCTAGCATCCTTTCTTTCTCCCAATCCAAACGACCAGCAAATTAACTCAAAAACGTACATCAACTTCCAGTAAAAGCGCTAATTTACACTACCAGCACATGCATACGCGCGCTCACGGACACACACACACCAAAAAAGAATAAAAACCTTTGATCCTTCAATGCCGAACTGAAAAAGCCGAATTCCGTTGGCTTTCAGAAACTCCGCATTCGCCACAGGATACGGCTCTGGACACAAGTATCTACAAGCACCGCCAATAAAATAAAATTAAAAAAAAATCAACTTTGTTAAACGAGCCAAAAAGAGGAAAAGACTAAAGCAGAATTATTGATCATAAATATCGGACCGACATAATTGAACGGAGGCCTAGGGTTCGCAAGAAGGAGAAGTTAGCAGGCTCTGGAAAACCGGACCGGAAAACACCATAATCAACCATAGAAAAATTCAGTGGCGGCGCGAGAAGCTCTTCCCCGGGGCTGTCGAAAGAATTCTTCTCCTGCGGCGAGTTATCTGCTTCGGCGGCGGTGAAAGACTGCAGTTTTGTAGCTCCGATCGCGTTTTGGCACATCGGTGTGTTATCGTAATCATAGGGCCCTTCAATTCTCATAGCTTTTCGCGCCAAAGTTAGTGAATACGGTCTCTTTTTTTTTCCAGTCAAAAAATATTCATCATGAATATTCAGTTGTTATTGTTTCGATTAATATAATGGTCAGAATATTCTGGAATTTATGGATTTGGGAATCAGAAGGAAGAATTGAACTCCAACCTATGCCTCCAACGACCCATCAGAGGTTTTCCCCCACTCCACAGCAGGGAAGGGTGAAGAGACCGGGGGCCAATAATGGAAATGCAAGTATAAATAGCGTCCCATTTTTTTTTCCCTATTTTCGTTCTTTTTTTTTTTTTTTAAGCATTCCTTTTTTCGTTCTTTGTTTTTGGTCAATTCGGTGGAAGACATTAGACAGCGTGACGCATTGTTTGGTCCCTTCTTTTTTTTTAAGGAATTGTTTGGTCCGTTTCACTTACGACTTGCGACTCAGCAGCATATTGCAGCAGTAATATTAGTTATCTTATCATAGCCGGGATCCGATTATATTCATTTGCCTGTTTCAAATTTTAATTTGGAGAAAGTATGGAAGATTATTGTTCAGATTCAGCCTCTTATGTTACAACGAATCCGGTTGTATGATGGGAAATGGGTAAAATAGATGATAATAGAACATTAAAAATATCTCAACAGTTACTAAATGTAAAAAGTAAAGGATAAAATCCGAACTTACATGTTAATTGATTGCAAAAAGAGTGAGGGTAATGAATTCCACTACTGCTCTTGTAAATTAAGGGCACGAAATTAAAAAAAAAATTCACCAAGCAATTGTAACTTTAAGTATTGTAGAACATAAGAACGAAAAAAATAACTATGCTAATTTCATCTATGATGATTTTTTTTTAGCATTGGTGATGCTTTTTTTTTTTTTTCTTTCAAAGCCCAAAAAGCTTGAATCAATTTTTACAAATCTAAAAGAGAACCCCAAAAATCGGTATCCTTTGAGGTCCCACAGGAGACTTATAACTACCAACCCAAACCCCCCCAACCCCGATGTGGGATACATCAAAGGGGATGACACCCCAAACCTCCACAACGGGGGGCTGCTGCTAAGCCCAACTGGAACCCAACCCCTCAGAGGCGATGTTTCTTTCTTTCAAAGCCCAAAGAGCTTGAATCAATTTTTACAAACCTAAATCTCGAGTGAACCCTAAAAGCCGGCATCCTTTGAGGTCCGCATTGGTGATGCTTCAATAGTTAAAAAATAAAATAAAACCATGGGAAATGAGTGTGTTTAAAAGTGATTGGGCCAATTGGCATCCTTAGAAGTAGAATGTATGCCCATAGTCTTCGGAATTTGGTTCACATGCGTGTGAGCTATTATTAGAAAGTAGAAAAGCACATGTGAATTACACAAATTATCGCTTTGACATTTAGCCATCTTCTTATGTCCTTCAAGCCAGCGAATTTAGAATTCACAACCAAAGCAGGCTTAAAAAGAGAACCAAAGGTCCTGAGTCACATCCTTTTTTAATTTTGCAGTATGAGAATCAGTCCAGTTTTACGATATAATAGTCTTCTCTTATAGCAAGAAACTTAACGCAGACAAATTTCTCATCTTTCATCACTATCGTTCTAGAAGTTATTCAGCCAATAGAAGCACTTTTATAGTCCCTTGACTATTGGCGGTCAACATTGTCGGGCTGTCACTTTTCCAACACACGGCACTAATGAAGTAAGATCCTGCATCTTCATCCGCATCCTGTACATCTGAACCGAATTTATGCCAAGCAGCTGGTTTTGAAATAGCCTACAGGTTTAACAGCAATGTCAAACTAGGGCACCCCAAAATTCTTTCAAACTAGATGTATCATGATTACAGACAAGCTCCAGCTAATATACAAACTTAAAGGTACCTTATGATAGACAAAGACTTCGTTTGTTTCACTACCACAAGCAATGTATTCGCTGTTCACGGCAAGACCCACAAAATTCTTTTCATTTGTGTGCCCTTTAAAAGTCCGCAGCTGAAAGATAAGAGCAGCAACACAAAGGTAAATTTAAACTTCCAAGCAAAATTTACAACTAAGGAGTCAATTTAGGCTTACAGAAAAACTTTACAAGCCAAGCCATCAAAATTGCTATCCAGTACGGTTACCCAAAAAAAAAAAAAAAAAAAAATTGCGATCCAGCATGGTTTCTCATAGTAGTTAGCATACGTCCAGCCTTGCACTCATCCAAGTCAGGATTTTATGAAAATCGCATGATTAAAGGCCATTAAGACAAGAACCACTACACTTGTAGCTAACAAAACCAAAACATACTGTCAAACACCATTTTAATGACAGAAATTGATGAAGTTCACAAAAGTTGATAAAACTGTTAGAAATTGGCATACTAGAGTTTAGATGCAACTAGCTTCTGCATATGTTGAGGAAGTTTACGCGCTCAGATATCGTTTTCTTAGACAAAAGAGTCTTGTTTTTCATTTATACAGGTAATGCGGCGATCCGGCTAGTTGGATGGTCATCTGTAGCAGTAACAATTTGAAATAGCACCTCTTTAAAAAGACTCCAACCCTTCGGACAATTTGCCTGCACTTTTATAGGGCTAAGGTTTGGTTTAGCTGTATCATGCAAATTCACAACACAGGTGCCTTTCTAGCACCGTCTAAAATGAAGAGAGTATGCGCATGGACGATACATGACTCGTATGCTATGCAATCTAAACCTTGAAGAGTATAAATTATTACAGGTGAGCAAATAGACAGGATGAACCTGTACCCGTATAAAAGAGGAAGACCTAAAACAAGAAACAATTTTAGCACACCGAGAATGGGTTAACACCCGAATTCCTGGAGAAAACCTACCAATGAACCAGCATAGGAGCTGGAGAAATCCGAGCTTGAAATACTATAACTTGGAAAAACTAGGGCAAAATTATAACAGATGAACTCTTTGATTAGCCAAATAACCTCTTAAAAGAAACCATCAGGAAGCAACAGTGGACAAGGACGATATAAATCCACACTACAGGAAAAAGGTTACGGAATAACTTTTGACTTCATCAAAATGAGGCAACTTGAAAGAGAATATTGGATTTTCAACATTCAGTTATCTGCAATTTAACTGCACGATTTACCATGAGGAACAATCATAGCAATCTTGTTTTATGAGGTAATCAGAATTATAAGAATATCAACTTACTGGGATATTTTCCTTAACATCCCACAAGCGTAATGTGCTGTCAGTAGATGCAGAAGCTAGTTCACTGTTGGACAAAAATTTGACATATGAAACAGCTTTCCTGTGCCCACCGAAAATATGCACTGGTTGACTTGTATTTCTCAAGTCATAATAATGGATGTGATGGTCAGCTGAGCCCACCTACAAGATGTATTACATGGACTTTATATGCCTAGTCAGGGTAGTAGTCACTGAACATGACCAAAAGACACAGGGACTTACTACTATGTGGATGCCAGATCCAGGATTGTACTTGACCGAACATATGTTAGCTTTCATGTCAATGTTAAGAACACTGGCTTCTTGATTCGTGCACCAAATTTTGACCTGTTGGACATTCGACAAGTTACCGATTATTGGTCAGAGAACATAAAAGAAAATCGTTAGTTTTCTTTCGTACTTTCATTTCAATAAAAGATCTTTACAATTTGGGATTTGCCAATTTACAAAAAAAACACATACTTCAATTCTTGAAAGTGAATAAATGATAAAACATCATTTGAACAACAAGATGTTATTTGAATTGAAGAGACCATGAAAGAGCAACTTGCAGAAACCATAGAGCTGTTGCTTTAATAAACCCAATCTCACACATTAAAAAGCCAGCCAACTGTAAAAGTTATTGAAGAATTACTACAGTCATATAAAAGCACGGAGTAGAAGAGCTACCCAAGAGAAATCAAATATAGATGAGATTAGTGTCAGTCTGTCAGATAAAGTACAGAAATGGTGAATGCATGAAGTTTATCCATATTTTGGTCAGCACATGCTAATATGAACAACTTTGAGGTACTGCTTCTGAAATATATGGTTGAAAATTTCAGATAAGACCACTCAAGAGTCGAGAGCTATGTTAAATTTGAACTGGATTTAAATCTAGACCTATCAAATTATGGGAATAAGATATTTCCTTATTCAAAATGCGCAGAATTTTAACCATCATAAGGACAAATATGCTATTTCATGTTAACCTAATCACCATGTGTGACCCAGATTCAGACAAACCACAAAGTTTCAACCTTCTTGAATAGCCTGGGTTGTCTATGAGCAAGTTTTTCCCCGAGAAAGCTTGGATTAAAGGCTAAGATTAGTCAATATTTCTGTCAAAGTAGGTTCAAAGGCTTCCAGAAGTTAACAGAAACCCCTCAGTCCATTATCTTAAGATGGATGCGGACACAAAAGAAACACAGGCAGCAAATTTTACCTACAACCTGACAAGGACTCAATAACTCAAAAGTAACTATCCATGGGCGGAAGTTTCCACCATTTATAATTTACAATGTATGATATTGTTGATATTACCGATATCCAGCCATATGAAGAGAATCTAAATATAGG